AGGTAATAAGATACCTGTAAAGTTCATTTACCTGTAGTTTTATGTACCTGTAAAAATTATGCATTTTCAATAAAAATTATCTTGATTGAAAAATGTAATAATTAATTTGTCAATTCTTTATATATATTTAAAATATGCAATATCATAATCTATAAGGACTAAATTAGTAGGTATAAGTGTTAAAAATGAATAAAACATATCATATTCATTCATTTATATCAGCTGAAACATACCAAAAGATAAAAGTTTAAATATATTTTACTTTTTATCATTTTTGTCGAGCCTGCGACTTTTGTCGCAGAAAGCTCGACATAGGGATAGTGATCCGGCGGCGGCGTTAGCTAACTTCTTAAAAGCTTTATATTTTAGAAGGTGGAAGACCTGGATGCTTCATACTTTGTATATGGATGTCTCATGTTACGAAGTTTCCGTCAGTTACATGTCCAATGTCCTTGACCTCATTTTCAAGGTTCAGTGACTACTTGAAAAAAAAGTTAACATTTTTTGTAATGTTAAATTCTCTCTTATTATAAGTAGTAGGATAATTATATTTGGTATGTGCGTACCTTGCAAGGTCCTCATGCCTGTCAGACAGTTTTCACTTGACCTCGACCTCATTTCATGGATCAGTGAACAAGGTTAAGTTTTGGTGGTCAAGTCCATATCTCAGATACTATAAGCAATAGGTCAAGTATATTCGGTGTATGGAAGGACTGTAAGGTGTACATGTCCAACTGGCAGGTGTCATCTGACCTTGACCTCATTTTCATGGTTCAGTGGTTATAGTTAAGTTTTTGTGTTTTGGTCTGTTTTTCTTATACTGTATGCAATAGGTCTACTATATTTGGTGTATGGAATGATTGTAAGGTGTACATGTCTAGCTGGCAGGTGTCATTTGACCTTGACCTCATTTTCATGGTTCAGTGGTCAAAGTTAAGATTTTGAGTGTTGGTCTTTTTTTCTTATACTATATGCAATAGGTCAACTATATTTGGTGTATGGAAATATTTTATCTTTATGTCAGTCACGCAGGTTTTATTTGACCGTGACCTCATTTTCACAGTTCATTGCTCAGTGTTAAATTTTTGTGTTTTGGTCTGTTTTTCTTAAACTTTAAGCAATAGGTCAAATATATTTGTTGAATGGAAGAATTGTTAGCTGTACATGCCTGCCTGGCATGGTTCATCTGACCTTGACCTCATTTTCATGGTTCATTGGTCAATATTTAGTTTTCTTGGTTAATGTTAAGTTTATGTGACAGCTGTAATAAAGCTTTATATTTAGGACTATTAATATAATATCAATGATTAGTAAAGAAGGCGAGACATTTCAGCGTGTGCACTCTTGTTTTACTTCAATAAAGAGTAAAAACCACCATGAAAATTTCAATCGACCAGTATTTGCCAGTATTGACCACTTGAGGAGTATTGTCCGGGGCGGTAAATACCGGTAAATACCGCCGGTAAATACCAGGGGCGGTAAATACCGACCAACCTTGATTTAATTGGGTGTGTGAATTTTTTCTTAATAAGATTATGAGGCAAAGTGGTATATAGGGTAGAAAAATCAAAACTTTGAACAGATTTGAAATCACTAATATAAGCATGCAATTTATCAAGTACTTCCAAACGAATTTTTGACACTCCAAAAGTAATTAATTCCACTATTTTCAAAGGCCTTATTTGAACAATTTATTACCAGGTTTTTGTACCAAGTGTACTAGTAAGTAGAATAGACAGTTTAGTAGTGGAACAACGGCTTGAAGATGAAATAAATCTATATTTGTAAGGTGTTTTGTGCAGCTTCGGAAGCCAGTACATAGTTGGAACTTTCATTGTATTTGGTTCTGCTTGTAAAGAGGTAGCTAAAAGTTTGTTTGTTACCGATGTCATTTTCCGAAAATGGAGTCAGTTGGAATGTTGGTGAATTCGTGATTTCCTTTTGCAGAACCTCAATGTAAAATTTATGTCAAACAGTAATGATATTATTAACAGCCTTATCAGCCGGGACAAAAACAAATTCCTTGGTGAGTTCTTTTAGCTTATGTTTGATACGAGAAATAGGGCTATTATGGTTGTTGTTAGGAGTAAAATGTTCTTTAAAATGTTTAATACGAATATCAACTATGTTCATTACTGAATTAAAAAAAGAATCTAAGGATTTTTTGTCAGCTTTTTCTCCTTTTATCCATTTCGAGCAGTAAATATGGAGTGAGTCGTGGATGATGTTACGACACTCATTCCAATCAATAATTGACGGGGGACGATATTTAGGTCTTTTACTGAGGAATGATTACAACACTCGGTCATGAACGATGTTAAGGTCTCCTGTTTTAACATGGGAACTGGGGCCATAAATGTATTCGAAATTACTGCAATTTCAAGACGTAGGTGTATTGTCACTGATACATGTATTACTGTGGATTCATTTTTATTCGTGGTATACCAATTTTCGTGGGTTTCGTGGGTCACAGTGAACCACGAATTTAAGAATTCAACGAAGAATAATCCCGAGAAATGTGTATGGAGTCGGATGTTTATTTCCGGTTATGTTATGTAATTCTAGTATAGTGTTGACTAGCGATAAACATTGTAACATAACACGTGTTTTTATTGAAAGAAGATTCAAGTATTTTGATTAAATCAATAATAAATAGATCGAATATCAGTGATAATTTACTTTTTAAAATTGATTAAAACTGTTCATGGAAAATAACTGCAAGTTGTTAATTACCATGTCATAGTTTGGTTTACTGGTGATTAAAAATCAATAGGATTAAGTACGGGCAATATCCCCGTAGGTAATATTGTTTATGACAGGAACATTTATTTTCACACCTTTTACTTATCATAATTTGTTTGTTGAAGTAGGCCTTTATCATGGAGTAAATAAGTTAGATAGAAAGTGTACTCTTTGTACTTTGAATATCACTGAAGATGAATTCCATTTTGTTTTACAATGTGAATGCTATAGAGACTTAAGGAGACAGTTTATTAAACCTTATTATTATAGACGTCCATCGTCGTTCAAATTAGTGCAACTTCTCAGCACTGAAAATGTAAAAGATTTGCGTAATTTGTGTAAATTCTTGTTTAATGCATTTAATCATAGGACCAAACTGTTATTGGTCAATACTTGATATTTATTTGCTTCTCTGATGTATTATGTCATGTTGTGTTATAGAAATGTATTTGTATTTATTGAACTGATAAGCATAATGTGCTTAAAGTAATAAAGAATTGAATTGAATTGAATTGAACTTATATGACTGTTTATTATATCGTGATTAGGGAAATGAGCTTTCAATCATAGAGTTTTGAATGCCTTATAAAATTCCAACAAGAATTTATAAATTGTAAAACAAACAAATAATTAGTTGTCTCTGTCCATTATTGTAATAGAAGTTTTCAATGAACACTTTAACCTAGAATGACCAAGCCAGGATTTTGACAATTCAAAACTTTTTCAATGAATTCCTTCTTTTTTTTTGTTTTATTATTGATCAAACCAAGGAGGTTATATGATCTCCTAAATCAAAAAGAAATCCACGAATTACGTATCTGAATTTTTTTTTTTTTTTTTTTGTAATCAGCGATCCATGAATTTACGTATACCACAAAACGTCTTTTTTTCTCTATCCACGAAAAATTGATACCCACGAAAATAAATGAATCCACAGTAACATCTTTACACACTTCGCTATAATTAAACACACATTGAAATGCATTAAGGGAACAATAACACAATTGCAACTTAACTGTAGACACAAGTATTATTGTTACGTTCGTAATTATTCAGTTTCTAATCCAACCTAGCATTCTGGCAATTAATGCTTAACGTAACAATAACTCTTTGTCGGGCCACAATTAAAAAAATGTTTGTTTCCCCTCCTCCTGCCCTTAGTATTCATGGTATTGGAGCTGACCAGGCAGGCAGAGTTTAAAATTTTTTTTTTAATATTCCACTTCAAATTATTCTAGAATTGAAACAGATTGGGACGGCTATCTAAATATCATCAATTCATTCTAAAAACTATAGACTGGAAGAACATGAAGAATACAATTGTTAAACGTTGTACTCAAGTATCTTTCACAATTTTGACAATCACAATAAAAATATATTTTTTGGGTGTGTCATTAATGGCCTTTCCAAATATTTAATACTGGTATCTTTTTAGTAATATGTACATGTATTACCAGATACGTTGAAAGCCTACGACATATTTTTATGGTCATAGTACACTGAATTTCAAAGGTCTTTGATTGCTCTTCACCTCAGTGTCAGATATGCCTGCATTGATGACCAAATTTAAAAATTGTTCAGCCAGCATGTCAAGTGTGCAGCAGTGTTACTTCCAGTTTTTCGAAGCACGGTGGCTAAAAATAAAGGGCATGGATAAAAGTAAAAGAGAGAAGACACAAATTATCTTTCAGGTGTGTTGCCAGAAGGTACATGTAGCTGCAGAACTGTAGCTCTTAAGGTCCTCATGTGATATTTTTGACAATTGCGAACTATAGAGGACTATATACATTGACAAGCTATGCACCAGCAATAAACAATGAAATTTATTAGCTCTGTAGTCCGCAAATTGTCAAAAAATATCATAAGGACCATAAGAGCTACGGTTCCGTAGCTAGCCAGAAGGATGCAACGCTGATGACAGAAAAGTAATGCAGTATAGTGATGTCTGAAGTCCAGTTGTCCACTTCCTATAAAAGATAACGACACCCAAGTTACGATAAAAGTGGATGTAACCGACATTCCATCAAAAGTCAAAACTATGAAACAAAAAAGGTAACCCTCGTGTTACATGTCTTACAACTGTACAAGTATTACAACTGCTGTACACGTATGGACACATTTAGTAACAAAATAATGCATGTTACGGAGCAATTGCGGTTTATCTTGGGTAAACATATTTGCAAATAAAGTGCTCAAAAATTTTCAATGTCGTGTCACTGCATTTCTACCAGAATTTGCAATATTTATGGATATTTTACTTTTTCTTTCGAGATCTTCTTCCATCACGTATACTTCCGGTTGTGTACGTCTAATTTATGACGTTTCACACATTTATAATAGTAACATCCCTATCTATTTCGGACGCTTTTCCGTGGCCACATACTATCAAATTAGGACAACAGTATAAAATATTGTCCGAAGAAAAAAACCATATCAGTCAGAATATTATATGGAAAAATTAAGGCTTCTTACAAATTCAAACTCAAAATATTTATTTTCCTATTAAACCATTCATACTGTAGTCCTCTATGTATATATGAGACAGGTGTCACCCACAGGCACTTGTTTTCTATCCATGGCAAGATCTTCTATCCCTATATATTGCATTAAGTTAAATGTAAGAAAAAGCGTCCGAAGCGGAGACGGTCGAAACATTAGAAAGCCACCTTCTCGTAATATATAGGGATAGAAGATCTTGTCATGGATAGAAAACAAGTGCCTGTGGTGTCACCTGTGAAAAGGGACGAAGTCAGCAAACTTTTAATAGAATACTTAACGATACTCCCGTTAACAGCAGATTTATAAATATATAAACATTTATTGTAAAGCAAATTCCCAGCATAAATTCTGGTGAAAAAGTAACTGAATTACGGAAACGTATCCGATAGGTAAACGGACAGAAAGCCGGTAACAGGACAAAAAGTCACAGGACATAAAGTCACAAATTTGACAGGACAAAAAGTCACAAATAGTTTGTTGACAATTGTTTGAATATATAAGAGAATGATCTTGAAATATTTTTTTTTATTACATATATTCATTTTTAAGTTTAGAAAATTGTTCATAAGCCTTAATAAATGAAAATTTATTAAATTTTATCGTGCAAAGGATATATTTCTTGGCAACATGAAGCCATTTAAGGATCAAGCCTCTTTGACATTTTGTTTTCATAGCAATTATTTGATCATTATTAATATTTATTGCTTAAATTTTAATTACAAAGTTGCTTTATAAATAATAGTTTAAGAAAAAAAAACAAAATATTTCTTTTTAAATTAGATTTTTCTTGTTCAAAGAAAAATAATCTCAAAACTGAATAACATTGTGACTTTTTGTCCTGTGACTATTTGTCCGTGACTTTTTGTCTGTGACTTTTTGTCCTATGACTTTCTGTCCTACATTCCTCCGATATTGTTCCTATTGTTAGGATATTATATATGACGTCATTTTCAATGTAAATAGTTATCAAAGAGGGGCCTGATGGGGGGTCGGTCTCATCACGATTCACGAGTTGATTTTTTTGTCAATCACGATTCACAGAAAATAAATTTCCATGATCACGGATCACGAAAATATCATGAAAAAAAAAAATCTGTAGAAAAACGGATCACGATAGCGAAAATGCGCCGATCACGAAGAACGAAAATAACCCATCAGGTCCCTCATCAAAGGTACCAGAATCATAATTTAAGATCATTTAATACGCCAGACGCGCGTTTCGTCTACATAAGACTCATCAGTGACGCTCAGATCAAAATAGTTATAAAGCCAAACAAGTACAAAGTTGAAGAGCATTGAGGACCCAAAATTCCAAAAAAGTTGTGCCAAATACGGCTAAGGAAAAGAGAAACGCTTTCTTCTACATTGCCGGCTCATTTGCAATGTTCTACAAAGGACTCGTCCGTTAGATTGGCAAAAATTCTGTCCGCAGTGAAAGAAGGTCTTCAGAAATACTGTGAAACTGTTTACTCGCGTAATAAGTGAATTCTAAAAATTATAAAAAAAAAACTTCTTGATAATTTTAAATCTCGATCTTTCTCTGAAATTAATTTTATCAAAACTTTTGATTTTCAACCCTTATACCACCATTCCCCATGTGAAATTGAAAAATCGCCCAAAAGATATAATCCATGGCCACAATGCTTTTCAATAAAAAAAAAATGGTAGCATACGCTATAAATTTATTGCTTTGGGATACCATACGGCATATTTTGTTGAATTAAAATGAACAAAAAAGTAAAAAATGCTACACAGAGGAACAAGAGATTAGTATGATGGAGTTTCTTATTGACAACATATTTGTTGATTTTTGGAGGTAGACATTTTTCCAACAGATTGTCGGCATTCCTATGGGAATTTTATTTTCATATGAGCCGAAGTTCCTTCAGACACTTGTCAAATAATAAGAAGATCAAAGAAGACAGACCATTTAATTAGATATATTGATGATGTTCTTTCCATTAACAATCCAAACTTTTCGGATTGAGTTTCATTGATATATCCTCCAGAACTAGAAATTAAAGAAACAACAGACACGGCTTCCTCCGCCTCATTTTTATACTTATACTTTGAATTTGACACAAGCGGCACTCTCAGTACCAGAATCTATGACAAAAGAGACGATTTTGATTTTTGAAATTAAAAATTTCCCCCACCTTAACGTCACCTGCATATGGGATATACATTTTCCAACTCCTTCGGTATCCATGCAAGACCTTGCAGTTGCTACTCAAACATTTTTTAAAACGTCACCAGTGTCTGAGCAGAAAGTTGATGAATCAGGGTTATGTCAAAGAACGTCTCGTCTTTTTTTTTTAAAAGTTCATCGGAAGATACCAAGTATTCCGCATCAACCTCACAAATAATTATACATGATGGTCTTGAAGTATAGATTGCCAAAGAGACCAAATGACACAGAAATCCTGCAGAAATCAACAACCATAGGTCACCGTACGGCCTTCAACAACGAGCAAGGCCCATACCGCATAGTCAGCTGTAAAAGGCCCCGAACTGACAAATGTAAAACTATTCAAACGAGAAAACTAACTAGTCTAGTTTTGGTAATATCCCTTTGACGTGGCTGGGTATTCATACATCCCACCATTGTGTTATTGTGCTATGGTCATTTTCTGTATTCTTGTCTTTCATTTTTGCTCATGTGGTTTGTCTATAGCATGTCTATATGATATTTTTTTGTTGTTGTTGAAATAGTTATTTGTTTTTATTGTGATTTATAAGATTATAACACAGTGTTGACTGCTGTATCTAACTTTTTGACATTTTTACCTTTTATGTCTGTTCGTTTTATGCTCACACATTATTGTCAATATAACGAAATTCTATTCGACAGTTATACAAGTGAGAGGTTTAGCTAGCTATTAAAACACCATTTTCTACATAAGGAAATGCCTATACCAAATCAGGAATATGACAGTTGTTTTCCATTCGTTTGCTGTGATTGAGCTTTTGATTTTGCCATTTGATAAAGGACTTTCCGTTTTGAATTTTCCCTGGAGTTTAGTATTTTTGTGATTTTACTTTTTATTTCTCGTTTTAAAGTTTAGTTTAGTTGAAAATATAGTAATTTATACCTAAACCAACAAATATACAATAGTTGTCTCATTGGCAATTAGCATACCTCATATCCTTATTTCTATAAAGTCGGCTTATTACTGATCTGACTCGTGAGTTTCCCTAGAAAACTTATTTTCTTCTTCTCCTTTAAGTAATGAACTAGTCCAAATAATTATGACGTCTTGAAAAGCTATTTTAATAAAAAAAAATTATGTGGTCGACGCCACGTCGTAGGCAGGCGTCACAGAAAAAAATAAAATAGCCTTTCAAGACGTCATAATTATTTTGACTAGTAATGAGCCGAATTCATACATGGGTGTGTATCATTGTCCCGCGAAAACTTTGCAAAGTATCAGGCAACACAGCTAGTCTTCTCAAAGCTATAACATTTAAAACATTCTCCAATTTACAATTAAAACTATATACAGGCTGTGCTGTCTCCTTCATTTTAGAGTCTGGTTTCAGAGCAGCTCTGAACCCCTCTATTGTATCGTTCGAGGTGACTTAGGATGCATTGAGTGATTGATTGTCGGTTGTTTAACGTCCAGTGGTAAATATGTCATGCATGTTCAGGACGAGAATAAATTAACAATAAATACAATAGGTAGGTCTGGTAATTGTGTACTGATTTTGTGCAGTCTTTTAGGTTTCGTCGGATAAATCCCAATGTAATTTTTTCCTTTGCCTACAATGTTGTCAATGTGTCTATTCCAGGATAAGATGCTGCTGATGGTTACGCCTAGGTTTTTTGTTGGCATCAACATTGTCGAGTCCGTGAAGTTTTTATGAGGTGTATATTACTTCTTTGTTCTTCTATGATATTCTAATTACTATAAAAATAAGAGGATGTGGTATGATTGCCAATGAGATAACTCTCCATAGGAGACCAGATGATAAAAATAAACAACTATAGGTCACCGTACGGCCTTCAACAATGAGCAAAACCCATACCGCATAGTCAGGTATAAATGCCCCGAAATGACAAATGTAAAACAATTCAAACGAGAAATCTAACGGCCTAATTTATGTACAAAATAATGAACGAAAAACAATTATATTACACAGCAACAAGAGACAACCACTGAATTACAGGCTCCTCACTTGGGACAGGCATATGTGCCGGGGTTAATCTATTTTGAAGGCGCCAACCCTCCTCCTAACCTGGGACATTGATGTAACAACAATTAGACACTAAGTACAGATCTGAGAGTATTTATAAGGGATAACAATGATATATATTTGACTTGAAGTTCATAAATATTAATGAATTTTATAAACAATAGCAAAGGTGGATGATAAAAAAAAAATGTATCTTTGACGCATATTCAAATATGTAATTTTCATTGGGGAAGACATTTATTTGAATATTGTTTTAAATATTTTCGGATCGACTTGGGACCGGATTGGTCTAGGGCCGGAACGACCTGATACCGCCATCTGAATTTGGTGGTATGCAAAGATGTTCTGACCTAATTTTAAAAGATAATGAAAATAGGACCAGTCTACCAATATTTTTCTACATAGACCATGACTTTGGACAGGCACATACAGAATGTGGCGGGGTTAAACTAGTTCGAAAGCGCCAACCCTCCCACTATCCTGGGACAGGGGTGTAACAGTACAACATAAGAACAAACTATGAAAATCAGTTGAAAAAGGCTTAACTCATCAGATGGACACAAATAGAAATACATCTAACAAAACACAAAGTGGACGTGGCAGGGTACTTATAC